GATCCTCCTGCCTCAGCCTCCCAGGTAGCTGGGACTACAAGCACGTGCCACTGTGCCTGGCTAATTATTTTTTCTATTTTTAGTTGTTTGGATAATTTCTTTCTATTTATAGTAGAGATGGGGTCTCGCTCTTGCTCAGGCTGGTCTCGACCTCCTGAGCTCAGACAATCCTCCCGCCTCGGCCTCCCAGAGTGCTGGGATTACAGGCGTGAGCCACCGTGCCCGGCCTGTCCCCTCATTCTTGATTTTCTGTTTTCTAGCAGGAAGTCGAACTTGATAAAGTCAAAATAATAATATTCCCTCACTGTGTGGCATCAATCAAGTTTCACCATCATGTGCTCACAAGTTAACCTCAATTACTTCATTCTTTGATTTGGTTTAATGGCCAAATAAGATCCTTACAGAGTAGTGAAGCACAAGTAATAAATGGAAATTTAGAACATCAGAAAATTAATATTTTTTAAAACTACATAGCTCCTGTTCTTCTCCTGAAGTTTGTAGAATTGCATAAATCAGTATCATTTTTAATCCTACTTGGAATAAAGACTCAGATTTATACACTGTCTTGAATGGATTCAAGAAAAAGGGCCCCAATTTCATGAATTACAATAATCAGTTGGTAATCTGTTACGGAACTACCAACAGGGAACCCACGTTCTGTGCAGCTCACGGACACACTCGGTGGAGGGCGTGAGCTGAGGAAACAGGAGTCCTGTTGCTTGAATTCAAGTCAGTTGAAAGATAGCATTCAGGAAGTGCAGAATTTGGACTGCAGCTAGACTTGAAACTATTTTCAAATAGGAATGTAGTCTTGGGTTTTTTTCTTTCTCGTTTATGTTTTCTGTATGTTTCTTGAGTCTTTTTACTTCCATCTTTGTGGGGTTTGCTTGGAAACACCACAGGAAAATTATTTGCTGGCACAGAATTAGGTGATAGCACGTCTCTTGATTTCTTATATTTGTTAAATAAGTGCACAGTCACTGTTTTAATTTGAAGCAGAGAAAAATATGAATAATACATTACTATAAATAAAAATAAAATTAAATCTATGAGGCATATGGTTCCTCCAACAGAGTAATTTGGTTTTGGACATCGCTTGTATACCTTCTATCTCTTGTCCCACTTCCCCAACATATATATGCAGAAATGCATGTCAGTGTGCACACTTACACACACATCTGCCCAAAATTTAGCACCAATGCCTGTTTATTTTAATGAATGGGTAAGGAAATTTAAAATACTGTGCATGGTTCTGAAATGCCTTTCAATCAATATATGTCAATCAATTGGCAGAATGGGAAACACATTAATGGGAAAATCACTTTTTTAACAGATCTAACTCAGACTCAACAAGCCTAGCTGAAAATATTTTATCTATTGTGTATGACTATACTATAACGCCATTCCATTGTTTTCAAACTCTCATAATGACTTTCCTCCAGTGTCTTGCACCTTTATATCCATTGATATTCCCCATTCTGATGCCTCTACTGCCTCACCATTCTATCCTTGTTGAAGGACTGAAAACATACCTGAAGGGAAATAAATTATTGCTATATTGATGGGATATAAAATATAATTTATTTATTTAGTGACCAGTATAATTTTGTTGTTATTAACCTTTATCAATTATAGAAATACTGGAAGTGAAAATGGAAATAATTATAGATATTTTTATGCTTACCATAAAAAAAGGCAAAAGGAACAAAAAATACAGGATACACTTTTTCTCCATCATTAAAGCCAAAATGAAATATGTTATATAATATAAATCAAACTGTAATAGAAAATGAAAGAAATATAATTCATCAATATTCATGAAATAAATGTAGATGGTTCTCAACAATTTTTTTAAACTATACAATAATTTTACTTCAAATATTTGATTAATAGTCTTATATACTACATTTAAGACCATCATAAAGTACTAATGAGCTTAATTAAATACATTTTAATTTAATTAGATTTACAAACAGAAACGTTTCTCACATATATAATTTTAAGTAATTAGAAAACAACTTGCTTTCCTTGCCCTTACCAAAATTGGGATCAAATGATTAAAGTATCCAAATAAAGAGCTTTATATGAACATAATAACATAAATTTTGGTAGCATATTTTATTATAAAACTTACCTTTATTTTCTATAAGTATTAATCTCATTTTTAATTTACTTTCTCTTTAGTGATTTAAGGGAGAAATTCTTTTCGGGCTAGTCTCTTGAGAATCAACATCCACACATCATAAAAATGTCCTTATAATTTAATATAAATTATTCTTCATTACAGAAAATCAAATCTTTTTAAATAAGAAAATAAAAGATTCCCTAAGAATTATCTAAATTATTGAAATAAGGTTACAGGAGACAAACAATATCAAATAAGTATTTCTGTTTAAATATTTCTGATAGTAGATAAAATTCTGAGCTAATGAAAAATGGTCCCTAAAATGCCACCCATTAACTTACTAATTGTAAGAGACAAATATTGCCAGGGTGAAGTTCCTAATGCTTACTCCCTGTAACTTCCAGAAACAACCTACTCTGATACATTGTCATGGTATAGCCATAAAATATAATATTCATTTAACTGAGTATGTAAAAACTATATTTTAAAGGAGACAAAAAATTCCAATAAATAGACATTTACCATTGAACTATGAACTCAGATTTAATTCTGTTAGGAAACCAGTCATGATTTTTATTATAAGACTAATATCAGAAAAAGAATTTGTAAGACTTTTCCACAGGTTCACATGTTTTGTTTATCATTTTTAGGATTACATGCAACAAAAGCACACCATTAATCATCACATAGAATCTATGCCATTGCTTGCCCTCAGCAATGACTCACCCAGAATCAGCTTTTCTTTTGAACTGCGGCAATCTTCCAAATATTGTTTTCTCTTCTATCAGCTATCCTAGGTTTTTTTAATTGGGTAATCTTAAGAAAAATATAAGCAAAATATCAGGAAGCATTGTATTAATATTAAATATAAAAAAATAGTGTTGTAATAGACGGAATACAACGAATCAAGGTTTCTGCAATTCAGTCATTAATGAGCTGATATTTTAGTTTTTATTACATTTTACCATGAGAAAATCTAATTTCCTAATACTTACATGTACAATTGTCTCCAGACTCAAATCACATTTTCTCTTGGATCATATTTGACATTGACTTTAAGAATTTCTTAAATCCAGAGGTCATGACCTGAAATATTGATTGATATAATAATTTAATATTATATTAATGAACAAAAATTATTTCCATGAAAAATTAAAAACTTCAAAGTAAATACTGCAACTAAAATCATGTTTTTATTAAGCTATTCCAAGTTTTAAAATTCTCTTTTGCTTATAACATATTTGCCTTAGTATTAGCATATTCACCGCATGTAATGTTTCAATATCAATTATAGATATAACATGAGAACAAACTTGGTCTATAAATGTACATGTTTTGTGTTAGTAAATTATTTTAAAAGAGTGATTATGTTGTTTTCACACAAAAAAGTTGAATTTTAGACATTTACATTTTTTTCATAGGATTGCCAAAATGTTTTCCTTATGCATTTATAATATAGGCAAATACTCTATATTTATTATATCTATATGCATATAATTCTATAAACATTCTAAATTATACTGCCTTTAAAAATAATTTTTTAAAAAAATCTTCTCACTGGAGCTTTATCATCCAATATTTATAACATAGTGAAAGAAAGGTTTTTGGGTTTTGTACACATTTTCGTTGAAGAAACTTCAAAATAGTTACAGATAGAGTATAACTCCTAAAAATTTCCTTATCCTGTCAATGATGAATAATGAAAAGTTAAAGCAATTTAAAATTCATCATTAGATACGTCTCTTATATGCATGCTTTCCCCTGAAACTAGGGAATGATATTGGACATTTTACCTATTTGTTGTGATCATTAAATATTTTGACTGTGTCATGGAGTCCTGATAGTTCCTGACTCATGGTCTACTCTCAGTCAAGTTTTATTTGCCATGTAATTTAATATAACATAATAGAATGCTAATGTATCTATCTTTATTTGTTATAGTAACATAAACATTTACTTTATAGATTCCATATACAAATCACGTCTTTATACACAAATATACTTTATCTTAAACTTATTTTTTAAACAATATCACATTCTTTATTCATTTTGCAAAATTGTATCATTTAATCCATGACTAAATATGGAAAGGATATGTATTCACTATCTTAAATAGGAAAAACTGCTTTTGCAAATCACTGATTATTTGGTGCTTAACATAGTACCTGACACAAGGTGAGTGCTCAAAAAATTTTTGTTAAAGAAATGAGAGATTAAAACACTGAATAAATGATTGATTAATATGGCTTTAAAGTTCATTTCTTTCTAATGAACTAATTTCTTTCTTTCTGATTGGCTACTCTTTATAAATATATTTTCTCATAGTTTTTCTTTTACGCCTTTAATAATCACCAGTTTTTCTCTTACTAAGAATTCAGCAATATGGTAACAATTCAGTGCAGATGGCTTGACTATTTTCTCTCTAAATATATAGAAA